ATGCCTTTTCAACTTGCTCAGCTCGCTAATTTATCTACTTAGTTACTTTACAATTACGATGCTGTGAGTTTCTGTTTTGCTACCAGGACTCTCCCAGAACCAGTGGAGTCACAGAGTTGCACAGATGGAGTAGAATGGCACAACCACGCCCTCTGGAGCAAACCTTTGTATTCCCCCCTCTACACATAAATAACGTATCCCTGTGCTGCGGTTATTAACAATTATTATTATTAATGTGGTGCGATTATGTTATTGTTGTCGCTAATGTGCTGAGCCCGCCGACCCGCTTGCAAACCTTGGAGCTGGCCAAGCAGAGGCTAGGCGTGAAGCGTTGACTACGTGATTGATCTTAGAACTAGTTTTGTCTTTGAGACTTAAAACAGTCCATCGTCCATCATTTGTTTATTTATTTATTTTACCTTCCAACGGTCAAGAACCAATTTACAATATGGTATACAAGATGACTTAATCTAACTTAAACATTACATACAAAAGTGATTTTTTTCAAAATGACATGCTGTAAAGTGAAAGCAATTTGAGCAGTACAAATCAAAATAAATTAGGTAATTTACATCAGGTAAAACCATACTAAATAGAAATACACAAATCAAAACTTTAAATAACAACCAATGAACATGAACAAGAAACAAGAATAGTAAGTGAAAATATAAATGAACGACAAACAATATACATATGTGAGTTTCAACAATAACAATAAATATTTGAGTTTCAAAAAACAACAAAGATAACAAGATTTGTAAAAAGGGAGAAAAATACATTGGAGTGAAACAAAGATTTAAGAGTGATTTTGGGTGGTAACTATGATGAGCGGTGGAAGTCAGTCAGTACCCTCTTCCGGATTGTTTTTTGGCTGTCTGTGAAGATGTCAAAACTGGCACAGAAGGCATTCCCATTTCGAAGCATCCTTACTACTTGTTTAGTACTTGTTTATTGTTGTTCGTTTTGTTGTTGTTTGTTGTTGTTGTTTAGTTTGTACTTGTTTAGCAGACCAACAAATTACGATGAACGATCCTAATAATTTATATGTAACATTGATTGATTTCTTGTTTAGATTTTGATTGTTTTACTTAAAATCCCAACCAAAGTTGATAGTATTAACAATGTATTGGTGTTCATTGATGCAAACCCAATAAACCTAGGAGTCTGCTTTACATTTTTAAAAACCATAATTGATACCTAAAAGGCTAGATAGTATTTAATATTGTGTAGTGAAGTGAGAGGGGTTTTAGATTATGGCAGCTAGAAGAGGTTTAGCCATGTAACATAGATAAATGGTTTTGGGATTGAACTGTACATAAACATTTTGAACGGTAAACCTAACTGGGTCAACTTGGCTTAAGCTGGAAATGCGATTTAGTCTTTAACAAATGTTGATTTTTATCGTATGGAATGGATAATTTCTTTGTCACAGAGTATTCAGGTATATATTCTTCAGCTAATCACAATAGTTGGTCTCAGATTACTTTGATTACTTTAGTTTACTTTGAGTTAACCACTATAAGAATAAACCACCTATCTAAAACAAACCATCGATGGGGGAAAATTTTGAAAACAAAAATTGTATTAATTCCAACAAGAAGCCAAATAAAATCAACGTAGCTACGGCATTAATTGAGTAACCGTTGTTATTTTAAAATTCAAAACATGTTTCTTAGAGATAGACAAAAAAACAAAAATATTGTTAGTAAATTAATATATACTTAATATTGTACAAACTCGCCATATTATTTAGAAGAGAATAGCCCTCGTGCTGTCTTATAAATATAAGGGATATGGTGGTTTCTCAACAAGAGCTAAACTTAGTTTCTAGGCTTTAGATTATTTTTTTGTGTGCTTTGAGTTGAGTGTTTCATACAAGCTATGCGCTATTCGTATGTAACATGCAACAGTTTTTAACAAAAACAGTATATTTTTTTAAGACTTGGTCAACACTATAAATGGAAGAAATATTTAAACCATTTTGTTGAAATGGTTAAACGAAACAAAAACTTAATGCAGTGCCATTAATACAATTATTGAATACATTTTGATTATCGTTTACTTTGACGATTATTGTGATAAGATAATTGTTGTATCGTAAACATAGACATTTGGTTATTCTTTGCGTGCTGAAATTTCGTTTACCTACGACCGTTTTTTAAAGTATCCATTTCAGTTCATTTCTTAGAATTGAAAAGTTTCACTTAACAGCTGTTTACTCTCATAACAGCATAGTTTCATTTCATAACAGCATAGTTTTTCTCATAACAACACGGGTAACGGACCAATGAGCTTCAAGGATTTAGAGAAAAGAAGTAAAATTGTAATGTTTCGAACGTCAACTAATCAGCTGATCAGCTGATCAGTTGAAAATTTTAATTGTTGATCCAACTCGCGTATTTTTAACCTAAGTTGGTGGAAGTTAAAGGAAGGTAGATTGAACTGATTTAAAAATGTTAGTCAGTGAATGTGAAGTTGACGAGATGGAAATGAGAGCACAAACTGTTTGTGCTAATATTTTGCCACAAAAATCGAAACAAAGGTATGACATTACATACTAGCAATAGCAATTCATTAAATTGACAAAACAAAATAAGGTTACATTTATAAATAACTGTAAATCATAACTGTTTCACTATATTATTGAGTTGTCCAAAAAAATATGCAATATTTCCCTAATTATACCTGATATTTAATGGTAAGAATGCTGCTAGCAGAACCTATTCCTTGAAAAAAGTAACGTATTATTTAACGATGTTTTACAAACACGTAATTACATGAAATCAGCTGATTATACAATAAGTCGTTGCATCACTTTCAGTGGCAATGACATTAAACGAAAACGTACCCTACCTAGTTATGAGTAGTGACTGTTAGTAATTAAAAACCAGAATATTGTTAGTAATTAAAAAACGGTCGTAGGTAAAGTAGTGTACGCAACTCGCGTAAATAGTCTTTACGACACGAGTAGAAAATTTAAGGCACGAGCCTTCTATAACTTATTTTCTAGCCCACAATATATTATTTTAATACAATATTCAATAGGCATATTTATCTTTCATCTCCGTACTCAACGGCTCTCATCTCATCAAGGGTGATTACCTATCTGTGCTAATTTATAATCGACCTACAAATATTTGAAAAGATAATTCCGAAGACATGACGCGTACTAATGTGGTGTGCATAGCGTGCAATAGGTCATGTGTATTACTGTGTGTGTACGTTGACATTACTCCATGTACATTTCTCGGGGGGGGGGGGGGGGGGGGGGATTTTCCTTAGAAAGCGACGTCAAGTACGAAGTACGAGTGAGGGTACATTAGCAGAGGGGGCGTGGTCAACTGAAATAACCCGAGCAGAGCAACAGAGAAGGGAAAGGCCCCCCGCCGCCACTCCGCACCGCGCACACAGATACATAATATTATCTATTTACCCCAGCACTTACTGTTGTATTTTGTACCCCCTCCCCTTCTGGGGGACTTCTGCTGCGTTCACTTGTTTACACTTTCGATGTTGTAAGCCCGATTTACACTTTCACAGTCGACTATTGGAGAAGAATACTTGACGCTCACTTGGAGTTAGTTGATGTTTCACATCATCAAATCAAATCAAATCAAATTATCTTTATTCACTTTATACATTTTATATACATGAATAGTGTCAAAGCATACAACATAAGTTATAAAACTTAATCTAAATGGCTTAACCATAAATTTGACAATTATTTTAGAATGGACAGCTAATTCATTTTTGATTTATAAACTCATCTATACTATAGGGAGCCAGATTAATTAAGAATGATTTTAGCTTTTTCAAAAAATTGGGTTTGTTTTGATCTTTTTTTATTAAGGCAGGCAAACTTCTTATGAATAAATTGCCAATATACGAAGGCTTCATTTTTGAAAGTTTCAGACGATGATGACTTTTTACAGTAAGATTTTTCCACCTTGTTTTGTATTTATGGGATACTTCAGTGTTTTTATCTTTATAAACATGCCGAATAGTTTTAAAAATATACAAACCGTACACTGTAAAAATTTTCATTTCTTTAAAGTACTTTTTCACCGACTTCTTGTTCTTAAATTTTTCAATAACTCTAATGGCCTGTTTTTGTAGTTTTAAAACCTTTTTCAAATTTTTTTGTGCTGTCCCACCATAAATTTCGATTCCGTAGCCAATATGACATTCTATAAGCGAGTGGTATATCAATTTTAACACAGCTTTATCACAGAGATAAGCCATTGATCTCAAAACAAACAAGCCTGAATTAATTTTACCAACCAAATATGTAATATGTTCATTCCAATTTAGATGTTCATCAATTATCAAGCCTAAAAATTTAGTTGATTTCACTTGATTGATCGGCTTATTATTTAGATTGATTTTAGGGGTTTGATCTTTTTTTATCTTATTTGTATGAAAGAGAACAAAATTCGTCTTGTTTGTATTAAGTGTTAAATTGTTGTTTGTTAAGAATTGTTCAATATTTTTGAGCTCCAATTCAGTAGAATTTTTAATATCAGTAATTGAACTACCCGAAGTTTTAAGATTTATATCATCAGCATATATACTTAATATACTGGCTGACTCAGTCAATGCATTTGGGAGGTTTTTAATGTAGCATATAAATACATATCATAATTCTACATATCATAATTCTTTGATAATTGTGATAATGTATGGTTTAGCGTTTATACTGTTTAGAGTGCAATACTCAATGTTAATTTGTTTCTTCCATAAGGTCGACTATTATAACAATCTTACTTATTGATAATGAATGGATTTTTAGGCAAAAACTGTTTGCAAAAACATGTTATGTTGCAGTTCAATTCATACCTTGATCGATCTCGTCTGTTATTGGAGGGGAATATTAATATTCTTAGAATCTGTTTATGAGAAACGTTGATATTTCTTAGCAAATATTAACACGTGTGTGCAATTTAAAGTGTTGTGACTGGATGTTAAATTTGTTACTACGATATACAAACTAGGATTGCAAGCAATTGTTTGGACACTGTTTTGATGAATACTTAAGATAGATTTTATTATAAGATATAAACTATTAACACACTTTTTATAGGAGTATGCAGAAGTGTAGTGTAAGAGCTCGCTCACTAAATTTAACATGCTTAAGTAAATATTTTCGTGAAAGTTCAATAAAGGAAATGGAAATTTGCTTAGTCTGTAGT